TTTCGCATCTTATGGTTGAAGTTGAAAGAGGGGCGGGGGGGGGGGAAGGGGGGGGGGGGGGGGGGGGGGGGGTTGCATCTTTAAACAACCAGCGACGCTTCTCTTAACTGTTAACTTCCTAAAATCGCGTTAATTTTTTATAAATAACTACCGAATTTTGGCGAGAAACCCATGGCTCYAGTAAAAATCACAGCGAAGTTCATTATAAAAAAGTGAATCCACCACTCGATCTTTAATCAAACTTTAAAGATTATCCGGAACCCTTACTCGAAGAAAAGCTTATTTTGTGTCAGCTTTAAGGTTTCCTGGCTTTAAGATAGAAAGCCAAATCGTAACCAATATCTAATACGCTTTATATATCTGGTGAAACATCTTTAATGGAATGAGTCTTTGATAAGGTCATTAGATCGTGATTGGATCATTCTGTTTTTATATTTTCTTTGCTACAAAGCGTAGATTAATTTGGCTATCTTTTTTTCTTATCTGACGACAAATTTTTCAACTAAATACCCACTTCCAACATTATCTGCATCATCAATTTACATCAAATTCTGAAGGCGCTTTTTTAAGTCTTTTAACACRCTACCAGGATCGTTTCCAGTAAGGTTATTCGGCTGTCTGACCCGCTTTGATTACCTGAATATGAACTTYGTACACTAATTAATATAGCGTCCAATCAGAGCGAACGGAGTGGCTTGTAGAGATCATCATCTTTGATGAATGATGACATCTGTGAAGCTAACCGCGCAAAGCCACCGTACGAGTCGGCTTTTATATTATATATAATTGTGCTAATATTGAAGTGCACTCAGTGCCAATATTCGTTGATCTGTCAGTAGTGAATTATATTAAAAACAGAAATCATCAAAAATTAATCATTTTGTGTAAGTAAGAATTGTTAATTAAACTGACACGACAAGTTTTCAATCCAATGTCAGATGTCCGCCTTTGCGCATGTGTGGGGAGAGTTATTTACCGTATTATTATTTACCATTATCATTATCATCATCATCATCATCATCATCATTATTACTTTAATTTTTCTCCAGGGACAATCAATATTTGCTATTACATATTTGGCTGCCTCACAAAGGTGATGGATTTTTCCTTTTCTTAATGCGCTAGAAAAAAACAACAAATAAGCAAACTCATATCAGCGGCTAGTTCCTTAATTAATTTTTAAGTGTCAAGATGTTGTTCAGATATTAAATGGGGGAGTTTAAAGGTTATCGGCGAGCAGTTTTTTGTCCTCTTTCCTTGCCCCCTCAATAACACCAGAAGAGGCCGCGGGGTTGCTACGCAGATTCGACTCTAGAAATAAAGTTCATAGGCATTGCACCAGCTCTCTAATAGTGTTATTGTGCCAACATTTTGAAAAAGGTCGCTTTGCTTTGTTATTTTGTCCAAATAGATTTTCTGGTTAGCAATTTAAATACAAATCGACCAAGCGACAGATTGCGTCATCGTACTGACGCCTAGRCTATTTAGCATAGTTCTAGATATTTTCCTTACCGAATACCATGAATCACTTACAGGAAAAGAGATCAACCTCAACCTATCTATTTTATTAGACAGTGCAAATATAAAGGTGAACCTCTCCTTCCAACTGGAAGGCTGMGGATTTTAGGGAGACTGGAGAACAGTGGTGTGAGAAACCGCTGCCCCTAACTGACGYAGGTGCAGACAATCATTTACTGCCAGTAAGAGAAGGATTACCGGAAATATAATAAAGTCTCATAGGGATAGTTCTTGTTGCCCAAATGTGGGTGTATATATTTTTTATCTGTCTTATTGGTAATRTCGCTGAAAGCCGCACCTTACTTGATCGCTAGGTATTGACCATTCTCCATACATCGGTTCACTGGTCAAACACAAAGTATTCAGTCGAGGTTGCAAGGTCGCTTGAGCCCTTTGTGTTTGACCAGTGAACTGATGTATGGAAAATGGTGAATACGATAGACGGTCTGTTTTGTTATCTAATTCCTGCTGACATTGGAAAAATTGCAAAACTCATCATTAAATCAATGTTTAGCTAGTTGACAGCCTGACTTCGATATTAAGATTTTCAAATTGAAAACAAATAATGTCCTAGTCATAGATCTTTTCACGGATAGCGAACACGGTGAATCGTGGTCTAGTTTGTGTACCGATATCTTTCGTTTATCATGCCTCACATAGTGTTGTTTATAATGCATACTGAATAGTGCATTCCAAGACCGAAGTGCATTGTGGGTCATAGTGACATTGTCTAAAGTAGGATTAAAAATATTTTTTAATTCTATTTTTAGTGTATTTCATCTGAAACAATATACTAACTACATGTAGAAAGTTAATTGCTGTATATTTACTTTTTATTTCAATTTAACGAGACCCACAATKCCCTTTGGTCTTGGAAWGCACTATTCAGTATGCAGTATYCAGTATTCAACCTTTTTTGAAGTAGCTGTATGTGACCATAATGGCGATCCTTTGGTAAAGCCCCCTTCCTACATCTTCATATCATTGTAAACTAATTATTTGGACTCTTTCTTCCTACGCAAATCCATTATTAATCATTTCCGCTTAATGAAATGAAATTTAATTAATAGGTAAAAACCAAAACAAGCCACGGATCATTCACGGAAAGTACAAAAGGTTCATTAACATTTGATGACTTCAAATTAACTGCGATCCATTTAATTATCTGATTCCTCATCTTTATCTCAAATTTCGCCATTCTGAAGTTCGAAATCAATTCTATTGAACAGCGGTGGCAACGTTTGAAACACCTACCCATAATGCTCATGGGCGTCATTGCTTTAGATGTTGCCTTGTCTCTTAGGACATGTCTTTCGTGGCTATAGCTGCAATTTTTAATTTCCAATCATAAGTATGGTTGCCAGTAATGCACTGTTTTCCCATTTTAGACCACACGTCATTCCCTAGGGTATCCTTTGTTTAACGGTTACGCGTCATACAAAAAAAAATAAATTAATATGGTTACGTCTCAAAAAAAAAATAAATTCTCAAAAGAGTAGTGACACGWAATATCAAATGAGAAAATATGTCTAGATGGATTAGGTTACTTTTTTAATATTTCAAAACTTTTTGAACACCATACTAGAAGATTGTCAGCTCGTTTCCACTTTGAAAAGGGTTATCTTCTATTCCGCGACTAACCCGCAAACAAAAGCGACAACGCAGCCAGTTTAGGGTGTCAAAGTGACAAGTTTGAATTCAGGGCATTTTGATGCTAATTTATAGCAAAACTGAACAAAAGTAATATCACACAAACCATTTCATAGCGCAACGGGATTATAGTATACTCTTCCTACTTTAATTAACAATGAAATAATGAGGTTCACTTGGCTTTTCAAATAATATCATGACATTAAACATGATATTTAAATACCTCTTAAATATTTTATTGCTCTGAAACTAAAAAAAATCGCTTTAAAAACATGTTTTCAGATCACGATGGCAAAAAAAAAAAATTTAAATTAAATTAAATTAAATACAATTGAATAAAAAAATTAAATAAAAACAGAACCAATAAAAATCTGTATATTTTATAAAGAAAATGATAAATTGCATGGTATTTTTATATAGCAAAATAAAATAAAAGGCTAAAATYGCACGTCCCATCTCATAAATCTTTGATTGTGTCAAGAAAGTTAATTGCAGGCAGTTCGCTATCAATTATAATTTGTCATTGCTTTTTCACATTTCGAAGATCATCTTTTTGTAATAATCGGGATAGACATACTTTACCTAGACCTAGAGCCATCTAAAGTCCACAAAACAAGAAGCAAGGAGATTTCTAGCAGCAGAACAAGGCAACATTGATTCAAAGTTGGCTTTCAAACTGACAGTCTTTTCATTTGCTTTCTTATTTTCTTACGTTTATTTATTCTTCCATTAGTTTTGTGTGTGTAATTACCACTAAAATTTATAGCGCTAGTTATTTACTGATTTAAATTTAATAAAATTCCGAAATTCTATGGTTAGAAAACGGTCAAGTCAGTTTAAAATACACCTTATTACATCTTTTCATTCTTTCTYATTGTGCAACTTATTTAATGACGTTGAGTGACAAAAAAAAATCGGGATAAATTCAAATTTTTCAAACWAATTATGTTAGTTGCCAAAACAACTTTTTGATAAACATTTCCCCCTATTCTTATAAGTTATTTTAATTCTAAACATTATTTTAGTGCCCCAAAAAATAAAATATTGAATATAAGATTGTTACCACGACGGGATAGGCTTTTTATCGCAAGGATCATATTCAATTTCACATGGGACCCTATCTCACTGTCTCCTTCAAACCTTTTAGCTTTAAAATATCAAACCCGCTTTTGTCCTAAACTTGTTAGGCGAGCGTCTAAACTTGACTTGACACACTATCTGACTTACCTTTGAACGTAATCCTGTATGATTCGTTTAGGTCAGCGAAGTGAAGAGAGTGCGACAAGAACACCCTATGTAAATACTATCATTAAACTACTAATATGTTAATGAATAAAACACTAGAACAGTATAGGGTCCTTGTCCAATCAACTCTGAGGATCGTAGGCAAACACCAGCTGATTCTAAAATGATGGGTAAATATAATAATTTTATCCTTGTCATGTACGACGACTAATCGGTCAGGACAGTTTACACTTCACATTCACGATATTTGACGTTTCTAGATAGAAAACATCGAGGATAAGCCGGTGTGATGATCATAATATCTGAGCCTCTGACACCCAGGGTATAAAACTTGGAATTACTACCTCGAGAAGTTAATTACGGTCTTGCCTTTTATCTTTTAAAATTATTGCTTTTCTTCTTCTCTTTTGCTATTAAAAACTATTTCTGTTGTGATTAAATGACCGCGTTGTTTCTAAAGAAGAAGCCAAAACAACGATGATAAATTTCATAAATAATAAAACTGTTTTCCCTAAACAAGTCGGTTATTACGAAAGAGGGTGCGCATGCGTGTTCATAATTGTATGACGGATTAATTTGGCGTAAAATTGAGCTTGTAGAATTGAGTTGAACTATCGTCTTTGCAAAAATGAACTGGTTTTTAATGTCAATCGATATACGTATCTGTGCATATAAAAGTCTATTCAAAGCCACTTCTGGCAAACTTGAACATCCGCTGTTTGATTGTAAATCTTTAATATYCACAAAATCTCAAGGGTGTCGTCACAAGTGTGGTATTTCTAATTATTATCCTACTCGGAACTGAGTTGAAACATCAACAAGCATTTTCCCAAGTCTTGTTGACAAAACTATCATATCCGGCCTCCAAATTATTTTCTGTGAACGTTATGTTCAATCGTGGTGAACCATTGTCTTAGAAATTACTTAGAATGATGGGTCATTTTTTCTTTGGGTTTAAAGATGTTTAAGATCGTTTCTTTCTTTTCTCTGCTTGTGCCATCATTCTGAACACTTTCTTTTTCTCTTCTTTTCTCTTCTGTTGTCGCTTTGATTCTAATTTGGTCAACTCTGCTTTGTGAATTTTCCTTTTTTCTTCCATTTTTTCCTTTCGCTTGCGGATCTTTTCCTTGTTAGCCGTTTGTAGTTGATGCATTAAAGTGTACACCTGACGAAAGAAAAGCAAATACTTTATCCAAATCTCATAACCTTATTCTTACGATTATTATTACTCGTCACAATAAAGCATGGATCCAATCTCAGCGAAAGCCCAAATCTAGAAGTTTCCCTGATATTTCAGTGATTTAACTGATATTTTAGTGAGTTTCAACACGTTAGGTAGAGAACGAAGTTATAAATCATTCTCTTCATTGCGGCTGAGATTCAGCGATAAATACTGGTTTATGGCCCATTTTCACACTATCACTAGGTACATTCAAAATATTATTTGTACAATGTTCAATTCATACGTTGATTTTTATAGAGGGTAAAATTTGAGCACCAGAAGATTGAAACAAATTTTATTCACGAGCAGCAGCGTCCGTAGGAATCAATCGCCCGACCCAAAAGGACTTACAGTGGTCTTTTGCACAGACATAGTTTTACGGAAAACAGTCAGATTTTTCTGAATTAGATTACTCGGCATTTTTTGAAATAAGAATGCAGATTTTGTGTTCAAAGGTAATAGACCTTCTCAACATTATCATGGATTCAAGGCTTACATGGAAATACAAAAGTAATCACGCTTTTTCTCGGTAGTATTTGTAGTATTTCTTTTGTATTTTCATTTGACCTTTCAAGGCCCCCCATGTTCCACTAAAAAAATTTTCTCATTTTCTCCTCCACTCCTCTCCGACTTAAATAATGACTGATCCCTTAGCCTCGGATCCATGATGAAGGCTTTACCGTGGAAATACGTCATATAGATTGAACGAGAGTTGACAAGCTAGACACACCTTTCTCTCAGCTGGCTCCATAACCACAGCACGCTTGGCCTCCAAGGATTTTTTCGTTCTCTTTTTCTCGTTTTTGGGCTTGGATTTGAAAGGCAATTCTTTCTGTAATTTCTCTGGGATGACAAGTGGATTGAAATGCCGCGTTTGACGTTCAATCGGCTGAAAACAAAACAAACGATAGACTATTGCATTTGAATTGGACTTGAAATTATCAGTTCTAGCATGACTGCTGCTTCCGTTTATACAGGCAACCATTTGGCGCCAACATTTGTAAATAATCGATTCCAGCCTGAATCTAGGGAAAAAGCACAGGGTTGAGCTGTCAGCACCCTGGTTTAGGAGTTTTTCAGTGCCGTACATGAATATGAGAAGAACGCTCTTCGGTGCCTTCAGACCCCAAAAGAAAGAAAACGACTGCGACCATGGTACATTGAACCAAAGAAACAAGAATATGGCGGCTGCGACGTCATGTGAAAACACTCTATAGTAGTTGATGGTGATCCTACCTTATATATGGAGTCTTCCTTGACAGCTGGTTTGATTCCCTGTTCTTTCCTTAGTTGTCCAACTGTCTTCATACCTTTCCACGCAGCCTTAGCCTCGTTTGGAAGGAGTAATGACGTCACTGGGTTGTAAAACTTAGGTATACTGACTGGGTACCAGGTCCTTACGAACACAATGTCTGTACAAGTGAGGACATAAATAGATTGATAAAGTTTAATGCGTGTTAAATGCGCATGCTTCAAAATTCCGCTAGCATAGGTGGGGGGCAATCTCGTAACCAGAGCCCTTATTTCCTACTGCGCATGCTCAAAATTATTTCGTCGAGCATGCGCAGTAAGAAATAAGGGCTCTGGGTATGATATTGGGTGGAGGGAGCACCTAAGACAGATCTAGAAAACGTTCGTTATYATCTAATGCTACTTATCTGTTTCTTCTCCCACGAAATCGCTACTAAAAGCCTGATTACACCATCAAGAGGCTTTTTTAGGGTTCGATTAAATTGGTGCTTTCCTTTTAGGCACTCTTTTGAAAATATTTAGTCTTATAAAAGCTCGATGTTCATAGCCTTCTAAGCTTGCTGGTTGCTTTTTTCTGAGCATGTGTAATTCTTTCCGCCAGAGTCAAAAAAATTGGATATAATAACGAGAATTAAACTGATTGATTTTTGTATCTTACCACTTATTAGAAGTTTATCCTCAAACGTTGCTCGAAATGCCCCTTCGGGAGACTGCAGAAGAGTAAAAGGAAAAATACTATAACATTCACAAAGCTAACCTCTAAAATTGCTATCAGTAACCGGTCAGTGGAGTCCTACATTACCTTAAGTGCACGCTTTATTTGCCCTCGAATACCGCTGACACTTCTTATTGAAGCTCCTTCAAACTTGGCCACTTCTAAAGCCGAATTGAACATTCCCTGTAACAAATACATGTGCAATACAAGAATTATAAAAATATTTTGTTAGCCTAAACTTAGGTTTTGCCAGAGTTGAGCACGATAAGAGTTCCTGTGTTTACGATACGACAGCGTGGGCTACCTGTGTTCAGGTTGGTCTGAGAATGTACAGTGTTATCCTGTCTTACTTACCTTGATAAAAGCAGTGTTTTTGTAGATCTTAAAAGGCGTACCAGTCAGCTTGAGCTTTTTAACAAGCTCAACAGTCTTATCGAGTGCTAGTACGGTACCCGTGGCCGAGATGCGAAAATCGGCCTGTAAAACAAACAACAGGAGAAAAAGTTAATAAATAAAGACTTTTTTTGTAAGATGATACTTAAGTGATCGAATACATTTATTGCTATACCAACCGTTGCCCCAGCAATATTCTGTACAGCTAAAACTCCTGTAGTCGGTGGAGCAATAGGCCCTATAAAAACAAACGAGAAAAGATCAGTATAAACCAACCCTAATTTACCACAGCGGGATAGCTGATAGCATAAGTTATTTTTCCAGTCGATGGTGAGCAAGAAACGTTAATGCAACACATACTATACAGGCTGTTTTATTAGAGAACGGGCTTACCACACCGTGGCTTTGGTGCCTTCTGGCGTTAAGAGCTCTAATTGTTTATATGATACTACTTTCCAAAATAKCTGTGTATACTTTCGAAGTGGGTGTTTCCAAGGTAACAAGAGGTACGTCACCAGCGTCTGTATTTTACCGTATAGTAGCTGCAGTTAAAATCCTATCAGGGTGCATGTTCTGTCTTACTACACATAGCAGCTGTACAGTTACCATGGTAACCGAGGTCATGTTTCCATGGTAATAGATAAATTACTGTGGTACGTCACCAGTGTCTGTCCAACTTACCATACATAGTYGCAGTGCAATGAAGATGTTCTGGAGTGTACTTYAATAGCCGATGTCGTCCATTATGGTCTTGCATGGAGTACATAACCATTGACTGAAACCGTCGCCATCCAATCGAAAGAATAAGTGGGTCACGTGTTTTAAGAATGCGTTTGAACCAGCGATGCTTCTTAACTCGAACCTACAAGTCAACAAAAACGACGAAAAATGAGCCAAAAGAAAAAGTTGGGGGCACGACTAACATCAAGGTTGAACAGTTTACCTGGATGTATCCGAGACTGTCTTCATTGGATAGAACGCCGCCAAGGATKACGGGATATTTGGCATCAAAGTTCGTCACGAACTCACAGGGCATGTCCTTTAACTGTAACACAAAAAAAGTCTAAATATAAGCAAGAATTTGTTCCTAGATGATATTCTGGGGAAATTGTAATTCATTTCAACCGGCTGCTTGATAGAACTATGGAAATGAATTCGAATCTCGTGAAACAAGATGGCGAAATCTTTCTGTATGCCTTTTTTATGCCAAAAAGTACCTTTCTGTTATAAGTAGTCTTTTGAAAGTTTAGAGTGTAATCTTTTTTATTTTGTGGACTTAAATCCTGAAACAACCTCTGGGCCGATCTCATCTCAGAATAGTAGTCATGTATTTCTTCTGAAAGTCTTACCTCAATTCTGACGTACATTCCTGGGCGAAAACCYTCATACTGAACTCGAGTTTCGTCATCCATGTCTTCAAACTCACGTTGGTTCAACTTTGAAAACATTGTAAACACCGTTTTATCATTTTTTTAAATTGCACATTGATGATGACATAAGTTTTGAGATTTATAAAGAAAATTAGGAAGCTGATTGGTTAAGAGCTAAAACAAGGACGATTAATTTATCAATCTTTTTTTTTGTTTTGAGAAAAATGACTAAATATTGGGAAAATAAGCGCCACCTTGATACAATATATAACAAAGGTCTGGGTATTGAGGTCTGTAATACATACCTGAGATTGTTCATTCATCTGCGTCTTGAGCTCTTCATAGAACGATACCTCATCCCCTTCATCATAACTGAATCTTGATTAAAGAAAAACAAGACACACAGACAGACAGACACACCATCGTAAAAAAACATTGACGGAATTCCAGTAGAACATGACCCTTSGTACGACCAAGGCCTGAATTTTTGTCAAAAGCTGACAACAGCTGATCTTAAATGTGTCTCAGTCTTCCCTCCTACCCGCTGTCGGTGACAAACSAAAAAATACATTGAACAAATTTCGATGACCTTTCAGAGGCAAAAGTGAGAAAAGACTTCAAATTTGAAATTGATTTGAATTTTGGCAATTGATTTTGGCAATTGATGAGTATCAATTCAGTCAAAAGGATACTGTGCATTGAATGCTGCCTTCAGCTTTTTTTTCTTTTCTATTCTTGATTCTTCCTTTTCTTCTTCCTTCTGTTGGTTGTCTTCACTGTTTTCTTCCTCATCCGCATCAGGTTTCTTATCTCCAGTACTCTTACGATCTGATGTGGTATGGGACTCTCCTGTTTCCAGGTCTTCAAAATCCCCAAATATCTCATCATCTGATACTGGAAAAATGAGAGGATACTCTAAACAGAAGCAAGAACCAGCKACAAAATTTTCGTTGCATAGTTGCCACGATTGCTCCAAATTTCCTACTTTTGGCCACAACGATTGCAATAATAWTTTGATGTGATCACTATAGTGCTTTTGCAGCATCAGTAGTCCAATGCAGTTCAATTTGGAGGACAAAAAAATAGAATCTTACTGTCGTGAGAATTTGTCATATAGACCCCTCGGAGCACGTTGGAATGCAGCTCAATTTGGAAGACCTTACAATAGGTTTCCAATTCTCAGTAGATTGATTTTGTTTTGTCCTCCAAATTGAGCTGCTTTGATGCCACATGCAAGGGGTCTATTGAACTGTATTGACTTCGAACTGAGTTGCTCTGTGGTTATTGATGTCAAAAATCGGGTTTATTTTACTGTTTAAAAAAATAACATTGTTTGCTATAAATAATCCTTACATTCATCATCCTGATTGAGCAGTTTTTCAGCATCCTCATCTTCATTCCACTTTCCCGTCACGAAACAGTCCTTGATACTCTCATGAACTTCCTCTAAGTCCCAGTCCATCCCAGATAGATCAGGCTCCAAAGAGCAATCTCTCTGGTGCATGATGTCATCGGTCTTTTGATGCTTTGATTTTACTTTAAAAAACCCACCAACTCTCTGTTCATCGTCACTCTCACTATGGTCCTCTTTTGTTGTTTCTTTGATAACTATGAAAATAAAAATTATACGTCTAAAAAAAATTGGAACTGCTCTTTCAGATTTCAAATATGTGATAGTGTCTGATCAATACCATGAAAAATAAATGTGATTCTAAATCAGATCTTCCTAAATCAAAGCAATCACCCTCCCCCTCCCCAATCTTTCTAAACTAGAGCAAAATRTATGTGAATTGGAAATGTACTGTGGTYGTTAGCTGGCTTCCGCTCTTAAYCAATCAAAAAGYGAGAAAATATTAACCACCTAATCAGAGTTTTGCAATAGGATCACGGTATCATAGGTTTCCATGTGACTTAGTTTAGTCAATCACGCAAATATAGCAATACTTACTCTTGCCATAGACCAGCTTGCGCAGGTTGGGTGTTGTCAGCTGGTGTTTGTAGAACAGTTCACTAGCCTTCTGAAGAAGATTCTCTTTCCACTTAAGTTCACCTCCTGTAAGACAAAACAATACCGTCAAAAGTATAACTAACTCTTCAAATACTAGATTGATTAAGAATAACCACTAATACTACTAAAGCTGTACTGACAATTTCAAATATATTTCGTATAAAAATATTTCTAAGATTTTATAAAGTAATGAAGGCCACAATGGTATTGCTACTTGAAGGTAAAAGTATTGCGTCTCCTTCCTCTCATCTMATCTCCTCTCCTCTTATTTTGTCTTGTCTCCTCTCTCATCAAAGTACAAGTATGAGGCTACAATGCTTCCTTTTTCACAAGTAGTTTGATGWRCTAACATGTAAATCGACCAAGGAAAATATACATAATAAAAAATTATAAAGTAAAATAAGAATAAATTGACTTACTTTCAACATCTGTAGGAAAATCCACTACACTGTCCAAGGTAGCATCTTGCATTTCTTGATCAGAATCACTAGAATATCCACCATCACCACCATCATCATCATCGCTTTCATTATGAATAGCATCTTCATCATCATCAATATCATAATCATCATCTTCACTATCATCATCGTTACTGTCCTCAGAAGATTCACTTTCTAACTCTACATTTTTAGTTTGTTTTCTTTTGAAGCTAATTTCACCATCATCCACATCCATAGTGTCCTTATTTGAAGATTTATCCTTTCCTGAAGATTTATCATTTTTGGATTTCTTTTGTTTTTCTTTTTTCTTTTCTTGTCYATTTTTTAGTTCTGTTTCTAATCCTCCACTAGATTCCAACTTCTCTTTCATTTTCCCTTTCCCTTTCTTTTCTTTCACATCAATACTTTCAATTCCATTTTCCTTTCYTTTATCGTTTTGTTTCTGTTTAGGTTTAATGTCATATTCTATTGTGTCTTCTTCCACTTCMCTTTGATCTGAGTCATACTCATCTTCATTCTACAAAAAGTAAACAAATACAGGTCTGTAAATGAATGTTTTTATTTTACCTTTTGAGTAAAAAAAAGCAAAAAGTGCATTTAATAAAACAAATTACTCACCATTAGTTTTCTTTTTAATCCTGAAAAAAATTTTACATTTAGAATAAAAGGTTTCTCAAGACTTAAATATAGTTCTCTTAATGTAAAGTTTGCTTTTTGCCATGTGTTGCACTTATATTGAAAAGAAATTTATCAACTAGAGGGAGATGAAGGAGAACGACTCGGAGACAGAAGAAAAAGTTTGAAAATKATTAACATACTAACCTTTCTTTGTTTTGTTTTGAAAAATTCCRAAACTATTGTCATCAATGTCACTTCCACTGGTACCACCATCTTCATCGTTGTTGTCATTCTCCTCTTCCTCATCACTGTCCTTGTCTTTATGGTCCTCTTCTTCTACATTTTCATTATCTTCAAGTTCATCTTCTTGTTCTTCTTCTTGATCATCATCATCATCGTCACTCAAGTCACTTTCATTCTCATCTTTATCATCTTCAAATACTGCCTTCCGTCTGATGCGCCCATCTTCACTTTGGACTAATCGTTGAGATGGTTTACCATTTGTTCTACAAATAAATTGAAATTATTCATGAAYAAAAAATGGCATCAAAGAATGTGCAATATATATATTGTATATATTATATTTATATATTTAACTAGATCATAATATTATATAGCCAACCTATTTGAACTAGCCTACTCCCTCTCAAATTGCTGGTTTTCAKGGCTGGCATCTTGGTTGATTTTAACCAAAGAACTGTCAATAAATCACGTGATGGCAGCCATGACAGGAGGCAGGAACAATRGAATCTGGTCTCATCTGATTTAAAGGAGAAAAAATTCAGTTTCCCAAAGGAAAAAAAGACTCTATTGTTGTGTCTCCTGTCATGGCTGCCATCACGAAATGGTGCAAAGTCTCTATAGTCCATTTTGTTATATCAACAAACTAACATGGCCGCCATGTCTTTTGTTATCTAATTTTGGAATTTATTGAAAACTAGCAATAAATAACTTCTAATCCCCTTGAGCAAAATTAAACTTACTCTTCCACTTCCTCCATGGAGACTGATGTTCCATCCTAGAAAAGGAAAACAGGTTTTAAAAATATAYATATATGAATGTTTCATTTTACAGTACATAATGTACATATTATATTCAATATGTTACAGTCTTGTAAATTTACAATAGCCCTAGCTGGCAAGCTAATTCATTGAAATTTGAAAATCYCTCACTCTAATTACAGTATAGCTGACGGGAATGTTAACATGTACATGTGTGATTTCCCCAGGCAGTCATTGTAATATTCAGTGTCCATTTAGTTTGTTCATACTAGAACAATRATTAGGCATCTTGGCCTCATGAGCTATTGGCTTACCAGCCCATTCAGCTGTGCCTGGTGAAAAACTGACTCATAGCATAAATATTTTAGAATTATTGAATAATTAAAATCAAAGCAAATGCAACTCCATTAGATCAGTGTGTACCTTGAATAAAGTCATCTGACTTGAGGCCATCTTGCTGTCCAAGGTATGCTTTGTATCTATTAGAGATGAAACTAGTTCATTACCAGCCCTGTTGTCATCCTATAACAATAAAAAGATAATATTTAGCTAGTAATCCAAAAGTACGTTTTCAGAAGATTTTCTAAGTACCCTACCTGTTCTTCTTCTGTTCTGAGTTCAGCTTGATTTCTTGCTGAGTGACTTCCACCRAGATCAATATATACAGCATCCTGGTAATAGAAAGCATGCAGTGAATGATCCAAATGCACAAGATTACTACTCACCCAATCAGATTACTAAAACAAGGTATACAATGGAAGAATAC